TATGATAATGGTAATAGTTATGATTATTATTGTTTCTACTACTACATTAATGCTATTACATGACCCTTACTACTACTATAGTGTGTATCTGTCTTCTTCTGACTGTGAGGGTGTGATGTTGGTGGGTGAGAGGTGGCTGATGGGGAGGTGATGGGTTCAACAGAAGCAGAGAAAGGACATAAATCCTCTTCCCTTCTCACTTTTCTGCTTCTCGGTTTTCTTTCTTCAACTCCTCTTTCTGTAGCTTCTCTCTCTCTTCCTGCTCTTTCTTTTTTGGTTTTTCTTGTTCCTTTCTTTCCTTCTTCTCTTTTTTCTTCTGCTGTGCCCTCATTGACTCCTGTTCTTTCTTGTTCTTTGCCTTCTCCTCTTTGGCTTCAGAAATGAGAGCATCCTTTTCTGTGATGATCTGGCGCATCTTCATGTTCTCCTCTTGGGGCTGGGAGAGCTATGCTCTCAAAGCAGTTGTTCTTCTCCTTGAGGCATTCCTCCTCCCACTTTAAGTTGAACTTAGCCACATCAGCCTTCCATGCATTACACTGCGTCAGCGTTGTGCTTCTCCATGGCCACGCACTGTTGGTGGTAGACTATGTGGGCGACTTACTCCTGATTCAGCAGCTCCCAGTCTGCTGCTGTCTGGATGCTGGCTTCTGCTCGGTGTAGAGCCCCTTCCAATCTCTGCTTATGGGCCTGGAAGGGCTGCTGCCTTCACTCAATCTCCTTTCTCAGAGATGCAAGTTCGGCTGCCAGCTTCATGTTTTCCTGAGTAGAAACCTCGACGGCTTCTCTCAGGTCGTTGAGCTGAGTGTCGGGATCCATGTGGGCATCCAGAGGGCCGGTCCTCCCCTTTGTCTCTCCAGGCCCAGTGGGCTCACCCACACTCGGGCATCCACTAGGCCTGTTCTCCCTGCGTCTCTCCTACATGTGGGCATCCAACACCTTTTCTGGGGTCTGATGAGCATCGGCGTCAGGCGCCTTAACCCGGCATTCAGGTTATCCTGCAGTGACAGTTCTGCTTACCAAAAAGTGGCCCACTAGGCGGCTCGCACTCCACACACACACACCTACACACACACACACACACGCACACATACACACACACGCACACACACAACTGATGCTCCTCATCAATTTGAACCCCTAAATGGACTTAAAGTTTTATATTTCACCCTCCATTTAGGAGAAACGGCTATTTTGAAGAAAGAACTACAACTTCCAGTAGCGTTACAATCCAACATGATTGGACACGCCAGGAAATATGTAGTTCTTCTTGGGGTTCTTCTCAACTAGGGTTGTGTTTTTGTATTAATAAACTAAAATAAACGGATTGAAGTACCGACAAATGTGCTACTGTTAAAGTATAATACGTGTAGTATGAAATAAGTGTAAAAGAGTACATCGTATTGTGGTATTTTTTGTGTTTTTATTACACCGGCAGTGTTTGGGGGAAGCGTCGGCGCGCAGCCTCGCCGTAGACCCGGAAGAGATCTGTCCTACAGGGTCTGTAATGTTTTTGTGTGTACAGTAGGTGGCGGTAATGCACCTGAACGTTGGATGCCAACCGCCAAATCAACAGAAGAAGAAGCAGCAGCATGAGCTGCAGCAGCAGCTAGGCTAGGCTAGGCTAGGCTAGTAGCTAATGTAGACAGCCTTGACGAGCTAGCTAAAAGCTGCACAGACCTACAGATACATTCCCACCGCTGGCCTCTCAGTAACAGTCAGAACAGTTTCTCTCTGCCTGGGTATGTTTGTTGTATTTTTATTAATGAATACGGAGCTTATAGCAGGTGGAGCACACGGTACCGGCTCAGCACCGGTGTGTCCAGAATGTTCACGTTGGTCAGTGTGGGTCACACATCTGTACAGTGATCTCTGTAGTTATTAGTGTGGACGGGCCAGAACAGTAAAACTGGTTGATGCTGACTGTCAGAAGAAAAGAACGACAAAACATCCCAGTATATGCGCTGTCTGATGGGAAAAAACATTTCCCAGACATGAAAGATAATTACAATTGAAATGTATTGGTTTGAAATTCGTGCTGGGGAACACGAAACAGTCGTGACTATTTAATGAACTGCTGTGAGACTGGGTCGCACAATTTGGTCATAGCGCCATGAAACACCGTAAAACGCCAGAATAGGAGACGTGCTGTGTAACTGGCCTGTATGTGCTCTGATCGGTATGAAGCTTTAAGACTCAGCCAGACTGTGCTTCTGCCGCGGCTAACATGCACGCTGCTGCGGCTAGCCACTAAACAGGAAGTGACTCGTAACTAGGCCACGTGTGCTCTGATCTGCCCCAAACTCGACACGCCGGATCAGACTCCCGCCCGGAGCCCCGACAAGCGCAGGGCGAGGACCCATCCATCTCTGCTTGTGGCTTTAATTATTATTATTATTATTATTAGAAAAAAATATAAAATTTTAATTACTTCTTCTGCCTAAATTAAAAAAAGATAACAATTAAAGATTCATTAAAATGTTGCCAATAACACTTTTCTTTTTGCAGTTGCAGGTTGAACACTGTGAGTCGCTGCTATCCTAATTAACAGCTCTCATCCCTAATTTTTCCGTTTTCTTTATGTCTCTCTGATGTATTTGTAGCTGGTGAGTCTGAGATGTGTGTGCTGTTGTGAGTAGCACAGGTGATACAGGTGATGTCAGACAGGAAAAGGTCTGACTCACACCATCATGGTTCTTCATGAATGAAGTGACGTGGAAGATGTTCCCTTCTTTCTGCTCATTTTCCACTTCTGAGGTTTTCAGGCTTTTTGGCTGATGACCAATTATCCTGAGAATTGGAAAAGAAACAATTCAGCAAAACAATAAGTAAAACTATGAATTTTGCAGGTCAGCATGAGTTTCTACGCCTACAGTCAGTTGTCTGGAAGCTTATTGTATGTGATTCAGCATAAGATACACAGTGTGAGAAGATAATAAGGGGGCGTCAGTGTGCTAAATAGATAAATGAACATGAGGAGGCTTGATAAATCATAAAGTCAAGGCTGATCAAAACAATGATCAATCAAAGGCACAAGGCATAGCAAGGGAGCAGTGCTGCCACTGCACTGATGATGACAAAGCTTATGAGTGAGTGCAAATATACAGCAGTTAACAGAGCGTCTTACCTTTTCCTGCTGCGCTCATGAAAGTCGGCCTGTTAGTGCTTTAAAGTATCTGTCTGAACAGTGGATGAACCTCAAGTGTACTTCAGCGCTGAAATCCTCACTGTGACATAATTCCAAATTATGATGCATTATGAAGTGGGACTGTGTGTGTTTTAATACTCTGCTGAAACTGTATCTCATGTTTTTCTCCTTGATAGCAGTCAATCCAAGTTAGACAAACCCAATCAGATGGAAATAATCAGGCTTGTTTTAGGCACACTCTGAGTGTTCATTTGGAATAATCCAGAGTTCACTCGTGTGGCTTCACAAAGGCGTTCTACAGTGTTATCTAGTTTTGGTGTTATTTGTTCCTACAGCAAACCGGGCTTAGAATATCTGTTTCCACTCATAAAAAGGGGGAACATGGTTCAAAATCTGTGATTTGCTGTAATTCTGGGGAGAGAGCAATCAGAAGGTAGAGAGTTTGTTTTTTCAGTTGTTGAAAATTGAGCATGTGTTTGATGCTGGAGGGAAGCTGCTGGTGTCTGATGTGTTTGCTGGTGTGTAACTGGTGTAGCTACAATAATTAAACCAGCTGACAAAGCTACAATTAGCATCCTTATCCAGTGTGTGACCTTAACAGAGTGAACTAACTGAACCAAACGACAAAGGCAACATTAGCATGCTAAGATATGGGCAGGTCAGAGTGAAAAGATCTGATAGGTCATATTATAATATTACTGACTTATTATTGAGAGACCAGTGATTTACCAAGTACTTTCAATTAAGTTTGTCGTTATTTTAGGTTATTTCCGTATCTATAGACAGTATTTGTGGCTCAGATGGTCGAGCGGTTGTCCTCTAATCATAAGGTTGTTGTTTCGATCCCCCTGCCCTCCACAGTTGAAGCGTCCTTGGGCAAAACACTGAACCCAGAGTTGCTCCCAGTGTCAGGCAGCACCTTGCATTGCTGCTCCGTCGTCACTGCTGCATAAATGTGAGTGAATGGGTGAATGAGAAAAAACATTGTAAAGCGATTTGAGTACCACTAAGGTAGAAAACTGCTATAAGTGCAGACCATTTACATTCTTCAAATCTGCAATTGTATATTCTGAATATGAGCACTGATTGTTTGTATGACCGCTTTATTCTCTGTAGGGTCACGGGGAGGCTGGAGTCTATCCCAGCTGACTCAAGGTGAAGGCAGGGTGCATCTTGGACAGGTAACCAGTCTATCACAGGGCTACACATAGAGACAAACAGGCACACTCACATTCACACCTACAGATGATTTAGAATCATCCATTAACCTCAGCATGTTTCTGGACTGTGGGAGAGAGCAGACGAACCCACGCTGCAAACTCCACACAGATAGATCCCAGGAATTTCCAGCTGTGAGGCGACAGTGCTAACCGCTGTGTCACCGCCCACCCAAGATAAGTTAAAACAATTCAGATCAGTTAAAATGGAGGCTCTTAACTCATTCTTGCTGCCAGGGTTCCTGACAGGTTATTCCAGCCCAGCATCTGAAGTTTGATTTTCACACAAACAGAGTTTAGCCTCATTTATTCAAGTTCATCTCTTCTTCTGTGCCATTTACTGACTAAATAGTGGAATGCACACAAGCACATTCTCACCAACTGAGCAAATGAAGCAGAACACTGAGCACTAACTGTCTGCAGTACAGCTATAACAACCAGCAGTATTGCTCACTCAGCGTTATAAAACATCATAGGAAGAGTATAAGCACATTACATGTGCATGATAAATACTATGATCAGTGCATCATATCATGGAAACAGTTAGTAGGACTGCTGCAGTAGAGCTCTTCTCTCTTTGGTGAGATGCTGTAAAACAACCACTTGAGGTCAGTCTTGTTCTAAGTTCAGAGGCTCGTTTCCCACCTTGTTGCATCAATGTCCTGAATCTGAGGTCAGCACGCACAAGCCCTTCCAGTGACCTCGATGGAGAGAGGCCATATGCTGTTTTACCTCACAGGAGCCAGGAGTGAGACGATAACATGATCCCAAGCAATGACAATCTGATGATGCTTAAAAAAGGCAGCGTACAGAATGGAGCAATGCCAAGGCAATAGCTCCTATCCAGCTGGAATACCAGCAAACCAGTCGTAGCTTGTAACATAAGCATGGATCTGTATTTTAACATGGAGACATTCTGAGGAAACACTGACTTACAGATCTACAGGGCAGAAACAAATTACACCAAATGGTTCATGTCAGTTTGGTGTATTCAGGTATTTCAGGCCAGATCAATA